TCTTTATTTATGCTTTTATAGATAATTATCAATTGAACGTGTACATCATCTTGTTAGTGAATTCATCTATGATAACTACAACTAATTAGTCGAGAAGTAATAGGAAAATTTTCTAATCAATCTTAATTCAATTTAATCCTAAATTTTTCGTAAAATCAAAGACAACTACAGTTTCTATGTCCCTTTATTCACGTGGAAAATATGGTGCACTTAAAAGCTGTATGCCTTATTTATACACCCTGTTGTTTCAGTATGGTCCCTATCATTCTATTTTACCGCCAATGATCGATAATAGTTGTTTATGACATAATATTTAGAGAAAGAGAGAAAAAGAGAGTGTTACATGTCGATCACTGCAGGTTGGTATCTATATCAATCTATAGTTCAGTGAAGATAAATTTTCTTGTTGTTGTTTTTGTTTCTTCTTCTTTTGACGATGTAATCGAATATAAATGGCTACAAGATATACAGTTACTAGTAACATGTATACATTTTTACCATGGCCGTTCTTTTTTTTCCAAAAAATAATATCATATTCTAGCCATCATTTCGTCTTATATAATAGAAACATCATCCGCAATTGGCTTTCAATCTTTACAACGTTTTTTTCTGACATGAAAATTATGTTCAGAGATGAAAATAGGGGTATATTGTCTCATGATTTATGAGTTGTATGTGATCATCACCTTTACGATTTTTTTGTTAGGACGAAGACAAGTTCTACTAATTGAACATTAACGAACGTGATAAAATATTACATTAGCGAGAAAAAAATGAGGTTATAATGGATAAATTTTGATTGAATGTATAAGCATCTCCGCGTAGATTGCTTATGCGAGTAATCCTACTGATGTATAAAGCCTTTCCTTCTGTTCATCCCTTCTGAAAATTGATATCGACTGGTTAGTTTTCATTTATTGTGCTAAGTTCTGCTAAAGTAAAATCAAAGACATATTTTGTGTAGACAATAGTTCTATGTGTGATCAATTAGTCTTTTTCTCATCAAAATTTAGCTAGCACAGCTGTGACTTTTGTTCTGAACAAATTACGGTAATATCATTTGGTGGGTCCCATGTGTCTTTTGTTAATTATAACTCTTTTTTAGTGTGCGACAACTGACGTTCAAAAATCATCTCACTCCTTTTCATATAACAATAATAATAATAATCGATTCGTACTGCGCTTCAAATAATTATTATCGATGAAATTCAATATTATAATAACAAATTTATTACAGAATATATATATAAGAAAATTTTATACATTAATGAGATTTCTTACCGACAATTTGAAATAAAAGATGATCGGAAGAAATATACTCAGACATAATTCTGTTCAGAAAAAGAGAGAGAGAGAGAGAGAGCAAGAAAATGAACAAATTAGAAAAATTCTCTTGTTTTGTACACAAAGAGAGAGAGAGAGAAAAAAAATAAAGGGGACAGAAAGAGAAAAAAAGTAGATAAAGCTCATTTGATCTATACACATGTGTATTTTGTTAATCATGCGAGAAGACCGCTGCTGGTTATTGTTTATTTTTCAATAAATCAAATTAAAGTTTTTTTAAAGAAAAGAAAAAGGACGAATGATCGACCAATTTATTTGATTAAGTATATATACAAAGATTAAGGTAATTTACGACGTTTCATAGCATTTTGATTTTTTCAAATATTTTCTAGCTTAAAATGTCCGTCTATGTTTCTCTATAGCTGACCTAGTAGATTATACCGGATGTTTTCCCATTAAAAATAAAGGTATTTCCTGTAAAACAAACCCTGAATAATTTTTAAAAGTTTTTGAAACATACAAGACTACGTTACTTCTTATCTGAATTCGGTGTGCCGTCTGCGAAAAGATATGCGTATAAAACTTGAGTTCTTAACAGAATATCACATTTTGTAACATTGGAAGCACTGTAAGTAGTAGTTGCATTTTCGATACTATGATTCGTTAAATTAATAACTTTTCTCGTTGGCTTTTTGTTGTCTAAGACCAGAGTAATATACAGGCTGATCTCATATAATTTGCATTTAGAGGTTTAAACCTTCTGATTAAGATGCGCCTATGGCTGTACTAAACTTTTGTGATAGCGACTTCAGTATTAAAAAAATCCTACAAGTTAATGGCAAAGAAAGAATGGAGAATGTAGTCGTGATAATAATCAATTGTAGTTTGTGTAAGTACCGCATAATGATCAGATGAGTGAGTGAGAGTTGCGTGTTATATGAGTTTCGAATTACAAATCTATTAACGTTTAGAACATACATAAGATTAGGGTCATTAATCAGTAATACAAACAAGTATGATGTAATAAAAATGGAAATTCTCCTCCCCGTATATTTATAACCCCTAAAAACGGAAATATTTATAACCCTTTCATAAATCACTACAAAGAAGCCATATATAATAATTGAAGATAAATCCCTTTCCCTAAATTAACGATATATAGGAAGATCTAATATGAGATTGTTTTTTCCTCTTCCGTTTCGCTCGTTCACTTGTTCATATTTGGGGTGAGAGAAAAAGAAAAAAGTCAAACGAAATTGTTCATTGATAATTTAGAAGAGAGCTTTTAAGTGGCAAACAAGTTTGTATGTATGAAAAGAGTATTATTTTAAAAGAATTGGAACTAGAAACGTTTATTTTCAGATCTATGAAACAAATAATGCTATAAATAGTCAGAAATTTGTTGCAGCAAATACAAAAACGCAGTAAAAAAAAGATCATAATAGCTTACAAGGTTCATTTACCATATGATGGGGAAAAGTCATAAAAAGCTAGAAGACTAGCTAATTTTGTTCAAAAATGTTTGCTCTACAGGACAGAGCTGTCGGAAAAGAAATCTGTCAATTTAGATTCTGAGGCCTAGTTTCCCATGAGCTCATTTTTTTCAGCAGTTTTAATAGAGTTTTTCTTTTTATCTCTATTGATAAGAAAGTATTTCAACTCTTCAAATCACTTTGGACATCTGCTTTTATCTCTTCGGGTAAAGAAACAACAAAAAAATCGAAAAGGCAAACTATATACAAGACATATTTTTGTCTCCCGAGATGATCTAGTAATACACATATAACATTGATCAATGTCAAAGTGAGTCGAATGATAGATGCATCATCATATTCATAACTAAAAATAATTTAGGTGATTAAATTACATAATCATCTTTTTTTGGGAGGACTTTCTTTACGATAAAAAACGGTCAAAGGAAATATAAGTGTGTCCCTCGTACTAGATACAAGATTATTAGAGAAGCATTTATATACACTACATTATCATCAGTAGTATAGAATTGCATAATTCATTCTCTTCTTCTTAATAGCTATCAAGTTAAAACTAAATATACTTATTTTACGTGATAGTTTTATATGTATGTATATATGTATGTATGTTAGAAATTTTCATTTTGTGTGATCAAAAAATATAAATGACGTACATAAATCAACAGATTAAACTAATACTCTCAATTTACGATCAGATTTCATTTAACCTATATACAAGGTTAATCACAAAACAACATTCTTTTTGTTCATAGTCATATACACCAGTCGTATATAATGAAATAACTATTATTATACTAGTATATTGTAGTGTGTAAGATATTGAATAATAGAAGTTATTTCTAGACATCCAGTATGATATTATAGGAGTAGGAACAACAGTCGTCGTCTGATTGTCTTTTAATGTGGTGGTAATAGTGGTCATTCGTATCTTGCGGCGATTATACTAGGAGATGTTGTAACTTGAAAATAATTTCTTTTTTTCTGTTGTTAAAACAGAGTGTTACTACTATTGTCTATATAGACATTATATGTGTGTGTATATGTATGTATGTGTTTAAAATTTTCAAGTGTATTTAAGACAAATGAAAGAAGGTATAGACAGTTCATGTAACATCTGCATTCTCAGATTAATTAGGAAAATCTTTCTTAAATACAAGTCTATGTATGAAAATTATATCGAAGGATATTAAAGTTTTGTATATTTTTTCAAATGATATCTTTTACCAATACCATATTTCTATTTTAAATAAGTGGACTTTAACAAAAGATCAAAAAAGGTGTGTCCATTCATTTATATTTTTCAACAGAAGTTAAGTTAATGGAATATGTATAACTGATTGCTACTCTTTTTATTCATCTACACATATATATATATATATATATATATGTACATATAAATAATTGTAATGAGGTTACCTCCCCATTTTGTTCATATATATACAACACACTAATGTTATTAAAAATCAAAATATGTTTTTTTGCTGTTTATGTTGAAAAGAACAGGTCTGGCACTTTATTTTTATTTTGATTTCTCTTTGCTGTCATCGTCTGTTCTGTTGTTCATTTAACTAAAAATTATAGTGACCAGATTCTAAAAAGACTGAGTGAATGTTCAATGAACACGCAAAACACAATTTCATGACAATCATAAAACACGTCTAGTTCTATGTCTATCATCAACATACTTTGTATTGTCATTCAGTTGACTTTAGTGGATGAGCACACACACACACAACACAACACAACACACACATATGTACATAATTTTAAATATTACCGCAATGCTTATAATTACCATCGTCCTTTTCATGTTTCCAATTTTCAATTGTGTGTATTTTAAGCTTCTTCTCTATTCTTTTTTTTCTCAATTCCATATTTGACCTAAGATAACTCGCTTTAATCAAAATGAATGAATAATTTAAATGAACTTTTGATTAGATAAAAAAACTTCATACAGTATGTTTATCTGTTGGTCAGTGTGGAGATGTGCCTGCTATAGAGATGATCTGGTATGTTTTTATTTGATAATAATAGAGTCTCCTAGTTTCTAAAGCGAACTATTTGTCTTCAACGTCTGTCTGTTTTGATCACTATCTCAAGATTTCGAATGTTAATCAATTCACATTCGTGTGCAATTTGAAGAAAATAAATACAATTCTTTTACTCTTTTTAGATATAGATAAGCAACTTGAACAGTAATAAATTTTGTCATGTTCATCTGCTATGTCTGTTCGTTCTTCATCCATTCTATTATTAGTACTATTACTAATTATTATTAATCTACATGAATTACATGCACAACAATTTCAAACTTCTTGTCCTTATATTCGTACATCTGTAATAGTATCTGATTGTGTATTTGATACTGGTCTTTATTTATCACTTGGTGCACGAATATTTAATACACGTTCTATTGATTTTGTTGGTCACTATTCACTTGATTCCATACCAGTATTACCGGTTCAAAATAAATTAAATACGGAACCAATTAATACACTTGTTTATAATCTAAGTGGAACATTTGTCTCTATTGTGCCATTAATATTAAATTGTCCACGTTTACCAGAAAATATTATATTTACAGAATGTCAATATACAACTATTAAACTTAAATCTTCAAAAATGAGACAACAATCAGAATATGTTAGAGCACAATTGAGTATATTAAATGTTACAGATCTTGGAATACGTTCTGTCTTATTTTTACAACCAGGTTAGGAGATACTAAATCATCATTCTACTATAGTTTACATATCTATATTTTTGATATAATTATAGGTGAAATAGCACTTCAATCATGCAAAGCATATGATTGTGATAATCAACGTGCCTATTTAACCGCCTCAAATGAAACATTTGACATGTCAATTCGTTATGAAAAACCCGTAGATTCTGTTTGTCAACTTACCGAAGATTGTAGTTCCGTCATAGATTTAGTTCATTGTTCTACACTTACACACACGTGTCAATGTAATAATCAAAATACATCAATTGTCGATTTTAATCATTTGGGAAGATATTGTGTTGACTCTATTACACAGTCAAATTGTACAAAATTTTCACGAAGATGTTTAAAATATTGTGATTCTAGTCAAACGCCCCATTGTCTTTGTCCACCGATATTGACACGAAAAGTACGAAAAACAAATGGACTATACGATTGTGAATTAGAACGAGATTCATCATGTACAGTTAATGATCAAATTGCAAAATGTCCAACAGGTTCGTTGTCACATCACTGACAAATTTCGTACAAACTATTGATTACTTTCATTTTTAGGAACCTATTGTGACGGCGTGAGATGTCGTACCACAGTCTCATTCGGTTCTATTAGCCAAGACAATGTCACATTCTATAGACGTACATCGCCACCAACACTACATGAACAAAATCTATTATCATCAACAGCAGACAGTCAACTAACACTAAGAGATAACGATAGTGTTAATAAACAACATCAAACAGCTACCTTCATTCGAACATTACTCATCATCATCACAGCGATTGTTCTGTTTTTCATACTTATTATACTGATCATCGTCATCTTAGTTAAATCTCATCGATTTCGAATTGCATCAGCATCCACATACAGTGAAAATAAGTCAACAATTCCCACACCAACGCAATCATCTAGTCAATATAAAAACCAACGAAGTTTATATAAAATTCCAAATACACCACCACCATCATCTTCTAATAATTATCCCGATTCATTATCCACAGTGTCAACAATTGTCAATGGTCAATCAACACCATTTTGTCGCTACAATCTACCAACTTCATTTGACAATTATATGAGTACAAATACTGGTGGTTTATTGCCGCAATCTCAGTTATCACCAAGATTTCACCGTCAAACAACCACAACATCACAACTACGTTCACTCAATGTACCACCACCAATTCGAACACCATCATCGACAAGAATAATGATGTTTCCCGATCATACAAATATATTATCAAAACATCTACCGCCAACAAGAATAGTAACAAATAATTATCATCAAACAACGACAATGAGAAAAAATAACTCAACAATGCCAATTGTTACACGTTTACAAAATGGTGATGTACTCATTTCAGCCTGAGAGACAGTTCTGGGCGTTGTATTTCAATAAAATGGCAACAGTCATATATTATATTGTTCAACTGTTTCATAAATAAATTTTAAATGTCATATGACACAAAGTATAGAATCGGGGGGGGGGGGGGGCGGGGAAGGTTATGG